AATTCGACCCATTGAAAAACTAATTTGCACCTATTTCTTTTATCTGCAATTTTTCAGTCATGTTCTTATAATAATTGTTCAGCCTTACAATAATTTTCCTCAATTTCATTAATTTTTTTGAATAAGTCTGAATTTTAAAAAAAAACAACTTCTTAATGGCAAATTTTAATATTTTTTTCCAACTAATCAATATCTTTCCTTACCTGTAAGTCCGGACAGACCAATTTGAATCAATCGCTAAATACCATTTATTTCTGGTTTTGTCACAAAATTACTTTTTTTTCCTTCAACAACTTCTGAAAAACTTTTTATTTTCCCATATTCACTTTACCTTTTTGTATAATTCCTTTTATTTTTAATTCCTTTATAGAGATCTTATATTTTAAGACAAATTTTTTTTAAATGGTTTGCAATTAAAATCTGAATAAAAACAAAAAGTTCAATATCAATATGTGAACATGGAAGCTATTCAAAGATTTTGCCAGAAACTGCTTTATATAATTCGTGTGTCTTTTAAAGTTATAGATTTCCTTACAAACATTTCATTCATGTGTTTACTATCTATTTTTTTAAACAATGGGAAGTAATTTAATTTCATGATTTCTCGAAAAATGATTCTAAATAAACAAAGCCATTAGCATGGAGCAAGATCTTCAAAGATTTTCAAGTAACGTAACACCTAATTTTATAAATATCGAATCGGAATTGTCATTTAATACCGAATATCCTTAAAATATAGAGTCTTTATTTTTTTTCTCCATTTATCTTGAAACTGTTGATGACTTCCTTGTTTGCAAACACACAAAATTACCACAAGAAACGATAACTTTTATGATTTGTTTTTTTAATACTTTTAAGCATTTTATTAACAGATTTTTATGTCTGGAAACATCCTTATAGCTAAAAGAAATTTTCCTCTGGAAATTACATGTTCAAATTCATCCTATTCTTTGAAATGGTGATAGTTGTTCTTGGCAATACTAATTTCTTAGATATTGATTTTAATTAGTTTTTAGATAACACATCATTAAGTTTAGAAGTCATTGGTTAAAGGCTGATCATCTAACTATCTGTAATTGGTAAAAAAAAAATTTCTCTCCAAGTAATAGGAGTATAGGTTATTATTATTGGCACAGTTAGTTTCCGTGTAGGTATTATTTGTTTCGATTTATTTGGAAATAAATAAGTTTATAGCACAGCTGCATGGAGAAAAAAATTCTGCTAAAATTATCTTACAGTGTGGTAATTTCATTTCTGATAAAAAGAGGAAAAAAAATTAGTTAATTAAACCAAAACATACTGTATTTAATTGGTAAACCATTTATTCGGTAATCTTTCTGTTGATATGTTATTACCAAGCATTTAATGAAAAATTAAAAAAAACCGAAAAGTGTTTTTTATGTCATGCTCTAAGGCATCATGATAATATTACCAAATTTTACCACTTTTACCGATTTTATCACATAATATAAAACCATATTTTATTGATAATTTTACCAAAACCATTGCCGAAGCGCTTCTGTAAAAACTAACAAGTTTTTTGATGTTATCATAGAGACAGTTTCATAGCAGTTTAGTCCGAATTCTTTACTGTATAGTGGGTGTAGTTTCTTTGCAGAATTTAATTATAATTTTTGGCAGTGTGAGATACATTCTAATTTTGTCATGAGGGAGGGATATTTATACCAGAAAAATGAACAAATTTGTTTGAGAAAATTTGATTTATTACTTAGAGAATATGGCCATACTTAGAAATAATGAAATAAAGAAAGGGGTTTCCCTCAAAGGGATCAAAAAAATTATCAAGAATTTCTGTAAAGATAAAAATTCAAAGGTTGGGGCTAATAGGCTGAGGCCTCCCAGGTCAGATCACCAAGAATCCGAAATTATAAGTAAATGAATTGTTCCCAACTGACAGTTAGGAGCATGGGAAGAGATCCATGGTTGGCGATTTATCGAAAAATAACACAGCCTGAAATAAAGCCGAACCCTCTTCCATATAAAATTTGAAAATTATTTGGCGAAAGCTAATCGCCAAAAAAACTGTGAGAATATAGTACAACCGTGTAACGGAAACATTTTTGTAGTAAAAAATAAAAGTATAAAGAGATATAAATAGATTTTGTTTTCGATTTAGTTGCGACGGTGAATTACTGAGTTTACATTTGTATTAAAATAAAAAGTTAGCCGTTACATTGAATAAAATATTTATATTAGCTTTTTTTATAAAAAGTAATAAAATTAAACAATTAGTTTAATTTAATTCAAATTCAAATAAGAGTGACTAAAAAAATTTAAGAAATTTTAAAAGCTAAGAAAAATATATCTATATATGTATATATATATATAATGCCTATTATGGCATCACAGACAGACACACTGTAAGTTTTACCATATTCTGGTAGATTTTATTTCCAGTGTGATCATGTTTGCGAACATTGCGTTTTGGTTTCTAAAGTTCTGATTATTTTTAGTTTGCATAGCCATTTTTTTTCTCATCTCAAAAATATTTCTTTTCCCAAGGATTCATCAAAAACAGGTTGCTGCCTTCGATTTCATTAATTCATCATGATTTCTTTAACCTGCCTCAAGATCGGCATTTTCATAGAATTGTTCCAAAATTCATAAATTAAAATTGTAGTTTAAGCCATGGACTTAGGATAATTTTAAAGTATCTTTAATTTCTAATTAAAATTCCAAATAGTGGGAAATTATTTGCTGCAAAAGTCTATAAAACAAGTGAACTGTTCTAAAAATATAAAATTATTGCACACCAGTGGGATACCTTCAGGTGGTACAGTAGCAATTTAAACTGTTTTGACTAATTATCATGCCATTCATCATCTGCCTATGATGAATTGTGACATGTTGCTTTCTTTAGTTCAGACATCATAACTATTCAAATATATTCATCGTCAGTAAATATGAAATAAACTTACGAAATGATAGATTTTTATTCATGAGAATCATAAAGCTCATTAACCAAGAGAGTACTTCTCTCAAATTATCTGAAATCGAAACTTAAATTGTTTTTCTCCTGGATTGCTGATCTCAGTTTTACTCAATACTTACAGACAAACTTACAATTATACTTACAATCAATTGCACTTACAAGCAATTGTACATACACTTACTTACAAATTTACAATTGTTTCTTTTCTGAGTGGCGATTATAATGCAAAGTATTAAGAAGATAAAAGTTTTTTTGTTTTGAAAACTATTTGGCGAATTGACATAAAACACGGTTGCTAAAATTCAGAAACTATGCTGGTAATCGGAGAAATACGGGAACTTCTGCTCGGTTCATCTACAGCAATAGACGAAAATTCTCTTCGCATTGCTTGTGCTTCCATAAAAGTTTAAGGAAACTAAATAGCTGCACGTGAAACATACCGCTGCATAGCCTCTGGCCTGTTTTTTTCCTTGCTTGTGCAAAAAAAAGACGTTAAAGTATTCTTACATGCAATCACAGGACGACTACAATGCCCCATTTGTACACACTTTTCAGACAAAAAAATTGAAATGTGTAGGTGTTGGGTAAAATTACATTGCGCGTGATATATTCATGTTATTTGGTAAGAAGGAGCGGCTTCTGATAAGGTTGGATTTTTATTAGCGACCCGTGTACAAAACCGGAAATCAATAAAATGTTTATTGCCTCCGATAGGTTGCCCTTTTAGGAATAACAGCGGGAACATTAAATACAACTAACGAACGATATTCTACAATCGTTCGTCGACTGCTTTGATAAGAACAAGAATGAATTTCTGTTTTTCCTCAGGGAATATCGAGTTCCCCCTCTTAACACTGATTGTGATTCAAATACATTTTATGAGGCAAAAAAGACGGAAATAAAGAAAGTTGTTGATGGCATCTAATAAATATTTGGACCAAATACCCATGAAGGAACTGGACTAATATTTGTTAATGCATTATTAATGAACCAGAAAGGAAAAATTTTATTTTGAATATCTATTTCAATTGGACTGCAGAACAAGCACGAAGATCTAATCAAGGATACTGGAACACTACATTCAAATTTTAATATGGCATCATTGAAGTTAGTTTATTAATAACAATTTATAAAAATTATTGTTACATAATTATAGGTATACTTAGTAATTTCGAGTAATAGCTATACTTAGTTATTTAGAGTAAAGTAAAGCTTTCCCATAAGAGCCCGTTACAAACCAGAGGGTTATGGAGGTTAAGACTTCATAGTTTCACGACCGATCCATGATAGTAGCAATAAAGGTAACTTGTGTACAATCAGAATCGTACACTATTTACCTTTACTTCCCAGGCAAATTGGTGCAAATCGACAAGAAGCTGGATAGACTTCAAGCCACCACCGTAGACTGAACAACTGTTCTTCTCAATGGCAGCCCAAACCATTGTGGCGATATTTTATTTATCATTTTGCATCCTTAATTAAACATTGTTGATAAACTATTCACTAATAAAGCTGTAATGGCATAAATTATTACGGATAGTTCATACCTATTCGAGTGTCTTTAACTTAGTGATTATCGCATCGAAACGTTTTCTGACGCATTTTGCATATTACTTTTACCCCTACACATAGAAAAGACATGTTTATTGAAGTCACTTTCCTCCAGATGCTCTAATTTGACCATCATTTCTTTGGTGGTTATCTTCTGGTTTATGGGGTCAATTGTCGCTGACTTTACGCTAGTCAGTTCCGCCTAAAATCTCACGTGATCTTCCAATAAATATATGACAAATGAATTTTAATGTGGTCAAACTTGCTGTTACTAATTACTTGTACTGTTTGTATAATAAAAAAATTATTTTAGAGTGTTATACGATTATTTAAAAAAATATTTTTTTAGCACGTTTCGAAATCGAAATTAAACTGGCGAACATTCTATTACTATTTTTGTTTAGGCGTGATATTGTTTCTCATTTATATTATCAGTTTTATGAATATTAGTTTATGAACGATGCTTTAAAAATATTTTTGTCCTCTTTTTTTCCAGGATAAGGCAGAAGAGAAAGATCCAGAGCTGCTTCAGCTTTTTGATGAGAAAGAGTGCGACCGATTGGGTGCCCAATTGGTTGACAGACCAAACCTCGACGACACCGAGACCAAAGTTGCCCAACTCCAAAGTGGTGAGTGTTGTTATGTTTTTTTATATCAAAACAACTGTAAAATTTTTACTACAATACTGGGCAAATAAAAATTATCAGCTTCACAAATTTCATTTTTATTTGTGTATTAAGAGATAAAAAATAAGGTCTTTACGTATAAAAAAATAATAGGAGCTATTTTAGTATGTACAAACTCTATAACTAATACAGCACCTGTTTTTTGACTTGCTGGAAAATGCGAATTTCTATAAATTGTTGCAAATAATTTATTTATTTAAAAATAATATAAAGCATAAACTTTATGGTTAAGAATGAATATGTATAAAACATTTAGTTGTATATGGGAACTAAACAGCTGTAAAAACTCGTGTTTCAAGACAAATTTATTTTTTGTTACAAACTAAAATATTTTGCGATCTTAGTCCTTTTTATTGATCGATTTTTTAATTTTGCATTAGATACTCACAATATTACCTACTACGCAATATTCCCCTACTTTAAAATGACATGGGAAATGAATTAAATATATTTATCCGGTAAGTTGCATATCGTAATGAAAATGAACTTTCTATTAGTGATTAAGACAGAAGAAAAACTATATTTTAAATTATTAATTTAAATACGCAGTGCAATTGAATATTTAGAGATTTATTTGCCAATCAACATAGAAAATAAATGAGATTATTAAAAAATCTGTTTTTTAAAATCGAAATAATTGATTTCTTTTAAAGCTTTCTTTTAATTTCTAATTTAAAAAGCAATTACAGTTTCTTATCATAATTAAAGTCTACGGCAATGTGAAGTTCACCGGAAATTATATATTTCAATTTTCAACCATGAAAAGAAAACTCTTGCTATAAATCTTATCTTTCCCTGTTAATTCTTTATTTATGCTGTGAGAACAGCTTTGGCTTTTATTTCAATTTGCTGATGAATTAAAGCTTTCAACAACTTATTGTTCCTTAACATTCTGCAAATTTATGTTACAATCTTTTGATTATTTTTTTTTCTTTTATTCGCAGCCTTGGATAAATCTCAGTCCGAACTTTTTGACTTAAAATCTCGATACGATGAAGACTCGAACGCCAAGTAAGTATACTTGTAAATCTGATGATAATAAAAATACAATTTATCTCAATCAGCCAAATGCAAAATTATTCATTATCCTCAAATCTTTAGCAAATAGCTGCTTTGTTCAGTTGTTGAATTTAATCGCTCTACCAACGTTTTATATTGTATTGTTAGATAATGTTGCTTAATAAATAACAGTTAAAAAAAATTTCCCTTCAGTTAATAATTTGTTTCATAGTAAAATTTTTGCAATATGGTTTTGAAATAGATATTATGTAATTTATATTATAAATAATTTGTTATTAATGTAATAATTATACAAAAAAAATTATTACTTTTAAATTTATATTTTCAAATAAATATAGGCGGAGTTTTTTTTTATTTTTATAATTTTGAGAAGTTTAATAATTTTCAATCATCTTTATCAGTATTTTTCAGAACTTTGTTGTAGGCTCAATGATTTGTTTTATATTATTTGTGTTTTTTCAAACAAACAAAAAAAAAACCATCTCAAATAATGCTATTCAGATTTCTTTACAAACTATTTAGTATGCTACCAAAAATCATATAGTTATTACAGTAGTTAATTATTGTAGTCAGCTACTTTGGTTAACCAATAATTCTTAGTCCTTTTTTTATAGCTAAATTAGCTTTTCAAAGAATATCTAAAGTACATGTATTTTACGTATTTCCTCGTATTCTTGTGTACGTAAATTATATCAGAATACGACTAGTGTAACTAGTAAAATCAACAACCTTTTTAGAACTTCTTCAGCATTTAGTTAAAAAGTATATAATATAAAAAGCGCTCTAGAATAATGATTTTCTTAAAATTAACAATAAAATATGATTTTATGTGATTAATATGCGATAATAATAGAATTTGATAAATGCGGTAAAATTTGGTAATTTTTATCATGATACTTTAAAGTACGGCCTGAAAAACCATTTATTCGGTTATATTTATTTTTCATTTTTGTATTTAACTAAATGCGTGGTAAGAACTATAATTTTAAAAACCACAAATTCTGGTAAACTGTAACCATATAAACGGAAAAATTTGCAAATAAATTGTTTAAATGCCATACACTTATTAACCAGCGCTATGTTCTCTATGTCATTTGGGAATTTTACAAGAAATTTTTTTTTCCGTTCAGGGTTAGTCAAAATAAATGTGATTTTAAAGGAGTGTAGTTAAATTTTTCCATCGGAAAAATGAATGTAAAATTCAATTGGAGACGCTTCAAAATCAAGTTTTTAATGTAGCTTTCCTAATCATTCAACGTTTGCTCGTCTTATTACAGAGCATACGTCTGTAATATAATTCTTGCCAAATCTTCTGTAGTTTGTTTGCATATTTTGAAGAATCTTTGAATCATCTGTTCTAATGGTTTTTATTTAAGTTTTTCCATTTATGATATTTATTGTTTAAAACACTAAACATGTTTATGAAATTTCAATTGAAAATTCGAAAAATAAAATTTTTATTTCATTCACAGCATTTTCAATTATCTTTGTAGGTCGGATGAAATGGAAATTATCGTAAATGATTTGGAACGAGCGAACCAGGTAAGTTTTACTGTACAGTTATAACAATAATTTAGGATATGGATTTGGGAGAATTATATTTCGTTTCGTCAAAAAATAATTAACTTTATACTAGTTTAGTGAGTTTCCGTTTCTTTTATGCTCGTTTTTGTTTTGAAGTTAAGTTAATAATATCTTCGTTTCTTCTTAGTTGAATGTTTAATTTGTTTATTTTCTAGTATGGAATAGAATCGAGATACTTTTATAATGACATTTCAAATTGGAAATAATCGAAGTAAATTTTTCACCATTTTTCGTAAGATGTTTATAACTAAACTTTAATTTTATTTTCTACTCACTTAAAACTATCAAGCATTTTTCTTTAAATTAAACTACAAACCATTGTTAGAATATATAGAAAAGTGGTTCCTATTTAGCCTTTTATTTAGATGCTTTAGCTTTTAATGAGTTTCGCAAATCACAATTTGATTGAATGCTTTAATTTTTTATTTACTTGAGTATTAATCTTTCTTTAGTTGTGATATTTAAAGACAGTAAAAGTAGTTAATTTTTTTAAGGAGGTTATATGTTAAAAGGGTAAGAATTGTAATGCAAAATTATGAATTGAGATATTTATATCTAAATATTTATAGACTTGTAATGATTTCTATTCTTTCGTTTATTTAATTTTTAATTTTTTTTGTAAGCTTTTGTTTTCTATCATCAAATTCTGAGATTTTTGTTATTATATATTTTATTTTAATCCTTATAACTTTGAAAATGATTATTATTATTTAATCACGCTGTTTTATTTTATCGAATGTATAATTAAAATTTTAAGAGAAATATTAACATATTTTAAATATTAAAGTAAGTGTTATTCTTTTTTCTTTTTTTTAGAAATATTAACAGTATAACTTTTTATTATAATTTTCACTAGGGAAGCAAATAATTAGTTGAGTCACTATAAGTCCTTGAATAAGTTACAATTAAAAGTCAAAATTGATTCTTGTTTATTCATTTCTAGTAAATATAGCTTAAATATTTATTTTGTATCCTGTATATCTTTAAATTTAGATTACCATTACATACATTCGTATTACTAAGGGTGCCTAACATAGGATTTTCAATCAACTGGTCGATGTAGGTCAACGACTTTGCTCTGCTTGCATAATGACGTTAGACGCTTAGAACCATAATTTTGAATTGAAAAAAGTAAAAAATGTAATTTATTATATGGTAGTCTACCGTATTTATTTTTTTAAGTCTGGTGTTATCTTAATGGTGTTGCAGACTTAAACTGAAATAAAGAGGAAATTCAAACTTCTTAATTTATTGATTTTCATTGATAAAAAGAAATTCGTTTCTTTACTCATACTGCATTATTCAGATATCACTAATCCATTATAAAGATAAAAAAGCGTGTGCTATTGATGTTACAACATCTTTAAAAAATGATTTGCAAACAAAACTTCATTCGCTATCTATTTAGTCATCATCCTAGTTTTTGGCTGTACCTTTACTTCGATAATGTAATCTGCATTTTTGAATCAGGGATATTTGTTGCAGAAGTCTGTCGCCAAATTTGTTTACCAGAAATATTACGGAGCAATCTATTTTTTTTTCAGTGTAATTTCTTGCTCCATCCATATCTTAACGATTTATAGCCTATACCAAAGGCCAGTCTGTCAAATACTTGCCATTTTATCTCTTTTTCGCCGGATATACTGCGGTACCTGCTTTTTGATCGTTTTATGGCTCACATTTTGGCGACACGAACATGTTATTAAGGGAATTATTGTTATCTATTGGGTTCGAGTCCAATTGCCGCAATCTGTCATCGGCTCTGTCACAAAACAATCCAAAGTAGCAAAATCCTGTCGTATATAAAAGCAAAAGTGTTTGCTTTATTCTCACTTAAACGGATCCATTGATGTTTCTTTTTTATTCTTTTATCTTCTTTTATTGCATGAATAAAAATGCAATCGAAGTTTTGTGGTTATTAATATATATATTGTTGGGCATTTTGACAGAGTACGATATGGAAAAATGGCCATTCTGGAGACATTTGGGTTGTATGGTATCTTCGAAACCTGTTATTAAAAAGAAATAATACTTTGATTTTTCTTCCTCGGTATTAGTTCAGAACTTTTTTTTTTTAAAGATATTTTCATGAGTGAGTAGCCAATCCTTTAGAAATATGATATAATGAAATTCTTTTTGAAGACGCCGCAGCGTCGAATAACATTTAATTAAATTTCCCCTTTAAGTGAAAATTTTGTTATCATGCTCATTTTATTTTGAGAAGAAAAAAAAACTTAATGGATTCTTTTTTTTTATTAATGGCAATTATTTTTTTTCAACACTTAATAGTTTAATTCTTTTACCATAAATCGAGAAAAAAAGTTAACAGGAAACTTAAGGTGAACAAAATTAACTGGGCTAAATTATTGCGCAATACCATTGAATATTTCCCAGAAAAATTGCTTTATGGTTGAATCATAATATCGTGCAAATTTGTTGCAACGTTAATAAGCTAACTGAGGCGTGTTTTAGTTCAACCATATTATCGGGAAATTAAGTTAAAACATTAGCTTTCTTGTTAATATGGTTCAACTTGATATAATATTAAGTTCATACCAAATTTGAACGATATTATGGTTTAGAGTTCCCCAAAATGTCCATAAGTCTGTTATGTTTTCGTAAAATTTTTTCGAAAATTAATTCGTGAAGGAAAAACTAATACTGTCAGCTTATTTTCTTAAATTTCATTTTTTGACGAATGGTTACCATAAATAATCTCCTCTACGCCGACTTTTTATTTCTTCTCAAAATTTAATTTTTTGAAAAGGGACTGTCAAAAAAAATCTGTAAATGATAAAAGTTTGAAACAGAAGCAATGCGTGATTGTTTTCGATGAATAAAGAAAAATTCGTAAAATCAAGGGGAAAAGTAAAAATTTTTGCAAATAGTGGAATAAATCTTGGAAAAGTAACTTTTTTACACAAATAATCACTAATTCTTGTATGATATAATTTAAAATACATTTTTAATTCTGGTCTTAGAAGAACTCGCATTCTAGCGAAAATATTCTTTCCTCTTACTAACTCATAAAGGATTATCCTAATTATTGCTGTATTAATAAGCAAAAACATATTTTGAACAATAAAGAATTGATACGGTTTAAAAACTTTAAAACAGAATCAATTTCTGATTGTTTTTATGAATGAAGAAAAAAATCAAGGATTCAAATGGGAAAGTAAAATTTTATAGAGAGAGGAAATCTGGATAAGAAACTTTTTCTCTCAAATAATCACTAACGCATAATATTTTATCATTTATTTTTAATTCTGATTTTAGAAGAAGAAGAAGAAATTTTTTTAATCTTTTTCCATCTCTTAATGGAATGTCCTAATTATTGCTGTTATTAACAAACGAAAACATGTTTTGAATTGAAAATTGATTGTTGTTATTTGAAAGCGCAACAACCCATTGCTTCGTTCCAAGCAGCTGAATTCTTGTTATTCCTAATGCGACAAATGTTTTCTCGCGTTCATTGAATAGCGAAGATTCTGTTGGCGAAACATTCCCTCTTGATTCTTTCGTGTAACAATAATTAACTAAGAATGGCAAACTTTCTGGGTCGCACTTTTGCTTCGAAGCAGCAAGTATTCCGATTTTCCATCCACAAAGCCGCCCTGCATTGTTTGAAGATTCTGCTGTTGTGCATTGCTGTGCACGCGTGATTGAAAAGGTCGCGTGATCTTCCTCCATTCCCCCACCACCACCCTCGCTCTCCGATTTTCTACTTTTACTCTCCAAAATCCAAAATCGAGTCCGAATGACCGACCACTATTCTGACCATTGCGTGCCAAAGAATTCCTCGCTACGCATCCATTATTAATGGACTCCATGTCAGTAGTTTGCGAAGGGTTATTGGGTTGCGAGGTTAGACTCCCCTTCAAACTTTTATACACATTTGCACAAGAATCGCCAACACGTGAATTGCTCATTGATATCCGGCTATGGAGAGTCACTAATTGCAGCGACGCTGAAAGAGTCTACCATTGATGTTCACGACGCTGACAATTGTTCGATTTGCCGGACTTTGCGTGAGAATGTCCGTTTATTATCGAGTCTGTATTGTCTTGTCTCTTCTCAATTCGATTTCTTCTCGCTGCCGTTTCATTCAATCGTTCAGCGACACTCTTTGCAAATGGTTTTAACGGAATTTTGTTTTAATCACGGACTCTAATGGAATGATACTTACTTTCTGCCCCAGAATTATGTATAATTTTATCTAATATCTAAACACAATTCTTTACTGATTCTTAATTATGTAGGAACGGAAGAAATTCTTCAAATGGCGCTACCTAGATAATCGGAAGTAGGTGCCATTATGGATAAAGCATATAAATTAAATGGACATTGATTTTAATTTTTCCGTTACCTTACTGTCTGGAGACTGTATTTAGTAAATGGAATTTGTTTGTAGCAGGGGTCTGCTATAAATTATTATAATTCCGATCGATTTCATACACACTATTGTTTTATATGAATATATATTAGTGTAATTCATTTCAAATAATTTCATTTCATTACGCACTAAATGTAAAGATATAGAGCAGATTTTGTTATTAGCACTTATGTTCTGGTTTTAGATATTTCGTCACCACTTTTAACAAAAATAAAATTTTAGACGTTTCTACGTTGGAAAATAGAATGACAATAACAACAGTAATATAAAGAAAAATCTTTTTTCGGCGTTATTGCAGATTGAATATCTGCGAGTTGACTACTAATATTAACAAAAGTTTGCGTAGTGTTTCAGTAATTTTAAACATTTTTTTTTCTGTGAAAGGAAATAAGTGGGTCAGATTTTAAGTTTCAAAATGATATCTAATTTTTAAAAACTTGATATGCCAATATTTTTTCAATTATCCTAATAAATACAGAATTTTCTCTTAGTTATAGTCCAATTTTATGTCAAATAATTGATTGTTAATCAACCGTTAAATATATCGTTAATAAGAGCTAGTGTT